AGAGAGAGAGAGAGATCGAGCAACGTTAAGCGTTGGGGTCGATGCTATAGATACTCGGGTCTACCTATTCATACGTCTAAACGTTGCGCTATAACACCTTAAGAAGAATTAACCGTCTATTTATAGCGACTTTATCCTGCTGCCTGAGCTCTACTAAAGCCATGTTATGTGTGCACATGGCTAAGTATTAGACACGGAGATTGCAATATCGCCTGTTCTGCCAAACCGTGTATGTATACGCATAGCTCACTGCCCCCACACGTGGAGATATTGCAATATCGCTTGTTTTGCCCAAACCGTGTATGTATACGCATAGCTCAGTGTCCTCACACGTGGAGATATCGCAATATCGCATATGCTTCGCTGCTCGCATTTCGCAGTCTTAATATTTATAACCTGTCATGTTTTACTCCGGCTGACGTAATACTAATAAACTCCACATTTAGCCAAGAGGTGGCGATACTTGTCTTACATGACGTGTGCCAGCCATAGAAATGATATATGTACACTATCTATATAGACTATATATAGTCTATCTATATTATTTATATGGTGCCAGCTCTTGTCAGTTGACTGAAATAGTATTCTAGTTTTCTTGGGTCTCTTCACACTAATCAAGGGTCAATTTTATAGCTACAGCTTTATGTCCAGTGTCTAGACTCTAGACTATTGAATAAGTTTGACTAATGAATTTATAAAAGTACCGTATACATGTATAGTGTAGCACCGTATCACACGTAGCATGAATGCAATCGGGATGCTTTATAACGAGACAATCTGTACCTATTGGTTAACCGTAACTCATAGAATCACACATAGCAAAATGGATATAATTTAGACTTCATAACATGATGTGGACATTATAAACTTATAACTTATAACTTGGACATAATATCAAAAGTGTCATAATATAGACTCTCGTATCCGGACAACTACCCTCTGGATAACTACCCCCCGGAGAACTACCACCCCGGAAAATTACCCCCTAGGACAACTGCCACCAGGACAACTACAACCCGGACAATTACCCCCTAGGACAACTACCCCCGGACAACTACCACCCGAACAATTACCCCCCTAGGACAAGTACCGCCCGGACAATTACTCCCTTATATTATTATTAGGACAACTGCCACCCGGACAACTGCCACCCGGACAATTACCCCGCTAAGACAACTCCTACCCGGACAACTGCCACCCGGACAATTACCCCCCTAGGACAACTACCACCCGAACAACTACCACCCGGACAATTACCCCGCTAAGACAACTCCCACCCGGACAACTGCCACCCGGACAACTCCCACCCGGACAACTACCCCCGCTAAGACAACTCCTACCCGGACAACTGCCACCCGGACAATTACCACCCTAGGACAACTACCACCCGAACAACTACCACCCGGACAATTACCCCGCTAAGACAACTCCCACCCG